CGGGCGGCTGAACTGCCAGCTCCTTTCAAGATCTTTCAAGAAGGGTTTTCACCCAAAATAGAGTTGAAAATGTGCTGGGCCCTACTCAGAATCTCATCAGTCTGGGCATTATGGGAAGTGTCAGGCGGGCTGTGACAGACAAGGCCCACTCTGTTCCAGGGGTCCTGACTCCCACAGCCTGTCATATCAAGCGCCTGATCAAATTTGACAGCTTCATTTGTACCTACAGAATAGATAAAAGGGGCTGTTCATTGAAACAAATGGAGGGGAAGGGTGGGGGAGGGTGCGAGGGAGCGTGTGCGAGTGTGCGTGTGCGTGTTGGGGGGACGGCAGAGCAGGGTAATGGGAGGAGCAGGGTGCACGGAAGCCTTCTGTCTGGGCACTCTTCTCCACACTCCCGGGACAGGTGAGTGTCAGGAAGGGGACAGGCGGGAAGGCCCGTGGGGGTGCCGTCAGTCACCTGGAGTACCTGGCCCCAGGCTGAAGCAGAGCCGGAAGATGGGCCCTGTGAGCTGGGTGGGAGCAGCTGCCTTGTGCAAAGCCTCCCAGCCCTCGGCTGCTGTGGCCCTGTCAGGTCTGGCCAGAGCCTGTGCTCTCCTCAGCGGCTGGTGGCTGCACCTCTGCAGGCGGCCCCAAAGTGCTGGCTTCAGGTGCCTTTCTGCTCTAGCTGCCGCCGCCATCAGTAACTGGTTGCTGTGAGCCAGAGGGGCATCCCCAGCCCACCGTGCATGCCTAGGCTCAGGCTGCCCCAGCCTTACAACTCTTCCTCCCGCGGAGTGAATGAATGAGTCCTTCACACTCCCAGGCTGCTCTGAAGGGTGCACAATTTTGTGGGTTCCTTCACTGGTCATCGTCATACCTGACGTTGGTATGTGCTTGTCCTGTTTTCCCTGCTTGGCTGTAAGCATTTTCACGTGCGGGGCCCTGTCGCTGTCCTGTGTGTTCTCTGTGCTCCAACAGCATTGAGCCCACCTAGTAGGTTCTCTGCAAAGGGTCTCTGATTGATGACTGGCAATCCACAAGGCAGTGCTCATGGTGAGGCTAGGGACTAGCAAGGTGGCCACTGTCCTGCCCCCCACCCGCGTCGAGCCTTTGGGAGATTTTGGAAAACAGCACTGCAGCCCCACAAAAGCCTCGTGAGATGCCAACCACCGATCAGAAATGATTTCGAGAACCTACTGTGTGGGCTCAATGCTTTCAGGGTGTAAAGGACACACAGGACAGGGCCCTTTCATGTGAAGGTGCTCGTGGGTAGTGAGGGGCTCCACTGGCTCCCCTGGCTGCATGCCGACCTGTAGGGCTCCCCCCCGTGCAATTGTAGGGTGGCCCTGCTAGCAGGAACACAGGCTTCTACAGTCAGGTAGACTTGATGGGGATCTTGCCTCTCCTGCTTACTGGCTTTGTATCCTTAGGCAAAATGTATCCAGTAACTGACTTGTTGCAGAGAATTGCTGGGGTTAAACGGAAGTTTGGATGGAAAGGGCTGAGCACAGTGCCTGGCACACAGCAGCCCTCAACAGATGTTAGAAAAGGAAAAAGCCTCAGCCTGGTCCTGATAGCCTGGACCTTTTCATCTGAACTCAGAGCACATTGTATTGCTAGCTCTTGTGTGCCAGTGGCTATCAATCATTAGTCCATTGTTATCAATCCTTAGCTTCTTGTAAGGTTCCCATCTGCCAGCCTTGTTAGAGTCTAATACAGCTAAGGTCCCTGTCCTTCGGTTGGGAGGGCTATTGATATGCTGTCCCTGTGCTTGAACTGGTGGGCTTTTGCAAGCCAGCAGGTGGGGGGCTCAGCTTTATGAAGTGTGCAGGTCACAGATCTCCGTGAACTTCAAGAATCTCACAGCCATGAGGCTTCTGTGGGTCCCATAATGAAGCCAGCCGTGTATAGCTAGAGCATTCTGTCCCTGCATTTCCTACACTTTCAAATGTCAGCTGTATCCAGTAAGCAGGGCGCGGTGAGTTTGGAGTAAACAGCATGGGGGCAGAATGGGCAGCACCCAGACAATAGCACGCCCTCCCTTCCTCTCCTCTGGGCACCATGAGGCCCCCCCTAACTGTCCCACCCCGACAGGAGGGATGAACGCTGGCCAGAGGCGATGAGCAGAGGAGATAAACGCTGTTCCTGGCTTGCAGGGTATAACCATGGGTGCAAGATCCTCCCAGCAGTTCCTCTGCTGCTGCTGTCTGGCTTGTCAGATGGCACCGAGTGATACCTTCTGATGTGTCAGCTTTGTGGGACTGTGCTAGATCCTTGTTAGTCAAACACTAATCACGGGGCTTTTCTGAAAAAGTTTCGCAGATAGGATTGCAGTCCCTAATCAGTGGACTTGCAGTTGACCCAAAGGGAGATGATGGGGCGGGCACTGTAGGAGGAGGTTTAGGCCTTCCCTGAGCTCCGAGACCCGCAGCTCCCACCGGAAGAGTTTCAGTCCTCCTGCAATTTTCCCTTTTTGGCTGTCTACGCTGCAGGCCTGTGATTTGCTTAGCTGGTCACCAGCACGCGTGGGACAGGGCCTTGTGAGAACGCTTTTCTGTGGTACTGCTTTGGCTTGTGCAGTCGAGCTGCGACTGGCAGAGATCCTTGTTAATCTGGATGGAAATGTAGATGAGGAGAGGGGAGAAAACCACCCCTGCTGTGCTGTCATGGAGATTTGGGGGTTGATTTGTCCCCACTGCATAATCTAGCCTGTACTGACTATGGCAGTGTTTTGCAGAGCCCTCAGTAGATTCAGGCTAGGTATGCATCTGTCTCCTGCTCAACTGTCAGCTCCTGGAGGCAAGGCCAGTACTGCCCACATCTTAGCAATTCCAGGGCAGCCAAGGCAGGGCAGCCAAGAGCTCCCCTCAATACCAAAACTCACAGATGCCCAAGTCCATATATAAGTGGCATAGTGTTTATGTGTAGCTTATGCACATCTTCACGTATATTTAAATAGCCTCTAGATTACTTGTAATGCCTAGTACAATGGAAATGCCACGGAAACAGTTGCTATCCTGTATTGTTGAAGGAACAACAAGAAAGAAGTCTGTACATGTTCAGTGCAGATGCTGTTCTTTTAAAATAATATTTTCAGTGCTGGTTTGTTGAATCTGTGGGTGTGGAGGTAGTGAGCACTGTACGTGTTTACTGAGTGGGCCAAACCACCGTGCCAACAGTATCTCCGCTCTGCTCAAGTGGTGTGTGGTTAGTGCAGTCCCAACACACTCAGGGATAGCCAAGCTTTTTGATGCACCATTCTCTTATTCTATCTGTAGCTTCCAGCCGCAGCAACACACAAAGTCTGAAGCTACTTGGCTACGTGCAGAGTTTTAGTCAGAAGTTTTACTAGAATCTTAGATAGACAGCTCTTTGTTTTTGGAGACAGGGCTTTGCTATGTTGCTCAGGCTAGCCCTGAACTCCTGAGCTTAAGTGACCCTCTTGCCTCAGCCTCCCAGATAATCAGGACTGCAGGTATGCACCACTATGCCCAGTCTTCCACAGTTCTTCAACTGGGAGACTTTGAATAGCTTATGTAACCTCTTCAAATTTCAGTTCATCCAGAAAGAGAACTGGAAGTTTGTTGTAAGAATTGAATGTCTAGTGTACATTATTATATTGCAGTGTTCCTGGCACACACCAAATGCTATCTCTGAAGTGCTATAGGGCGGGCCTGCCCTACTATCTTTGTATGTTTGGTGGTGCCCATATTTAAGGTTGTCAGAGTCAAAGGGAGAGTACAGCCATGCTATTTCCTTTACAGGTGGAGTGTGAGCCCATGTGTACCTCACACCATGTGTATGTGTGCACCCTGTCTGCTCAACTGGGGCACACGGGCTGTGGGGGGGGCACACAGTGGCATTTTCCCAAATGCAGTTTCTATTCTAAAATCTGACTCTGACTTCAACTCCAGAAGGACCATTTAATTGTATGTTCCTCACAGCCGTGGAGATCTCCACTGCCCAGTCAGAGCAAAGGCCCCCACGGTGTGGGGTGATTTTTATCTGCTTCTCATTTCTTCCCCTGCCAGTCCCACTTTCCAAAAGCAATTGGCTATAGGCTATGAAAAATTGGATTCTGTTTGTAGACCTTGGTTTAACCTCACAGGACTCTCAAAATTATTTTAAAATAATTTCTAACTCATGTAGCCCCTCATGCAGGCTCTGAGCTACCCACACTGGCCTCCATCAGCATTTCATCAAATTAAAAAAATATGTTCATGCTCCACTTCGTTAGAGTCAATTTTCTGAGTGAAAGACTGCACACTACAATGTTTTTCTTATGTGCCCCCTTTCCAGCCCTTACTCTTGAGGTGAGGTCATGGGGGTTCTTTCACTGAGCCACCTGCGTTTGCTGTTCTGATAGCAACTTTGCTGATTAACTGGCTGGCTGGGTGCTGGGGATATGGTGCTCGGCACACAATCTACCACTCAGCTACACCCCCAGCTCTGGCAGGAACTTTAACCAACTCCAAACATCATGATCTTGACTCTTCTTTTTTTTTTTTTTTTTTGAGACAAGGTTTTGCTATGCACTTCAGGCTGGCCTTGAACTCGCCTATGTAGCCCAGGCTGGCCTCGAACTCATGGCAAGCCTCCTGCCTCCTCCTGAGTGCCGGGATTACAGGTGTGTGTCACTGCACCCAGCTGTCATCTTGATTCTTTAAATATTTTATAAATTCATACAAACTGGGCATGGTGGTACATGCCTGTAGTCCCAGCTGCTTGGGAGGCTGAGGCAGAAAGATCAGTTGAGCCAAGGAGTCCAAGGCCATCCTGGGTGGCATACTGAGACCCTGTTTCTTGGATGAAAAAAAAAAAATTCCCACTAGAAAGGGCTGGAAGATTATAGGGCTCAACACCTTCATTTTACAAATAGGAAAAGTTCAGAGAGACCAAGTGACTTGCTGAAGGTTACAAATAATCAGGTTTTACCCCAGAACAAAGTAGCTTCTCAGACTTCCATTCAGGGCTTTTTCGACTACCCGCACAATGACAAGGCATTCCGTACTTTCCAGAGTAATCCTAAAGTTTGTGGAAGTGCAGAGCTACCTGGCTGCTGGTGCATCCCAATCACAAGAGAACTGAGCATCTTCAGAGAAAAGAAGTGAAGCCTACAGGCTGAGAGAAGAGAAAGTCACTACTTATAATCCACTCACAGCGGGAAATTTTCATAACACCAGTGATGGGCTGCCGCCTTAGGAAACCTGGAAAGACACTTCTTTTAGGAAGAAGCATGAGCTATTTCCACGCCTGGAATGCTCAGTGGAAGGTGCAAGCTGATGAGGGAATAGCTGGGCAAAAGCTCAGGTGTGCTGTAGATAGCATTTGTTAAGCCCACTCCTCCATCTGCTGTAAAATTGGGAATTGTTGGTTCAGAGGCTTGTGTCCAGCCCTTGTACCACAATAGAATGAAGGCCTCACCTGTCTATCACCCTTGCTGGGCCTAGCAAGAGTTCAGGGGCCTCGGCCCCTTCCACCTGCCTGAGAGAAGTCTCCCTCCTCCAGCTCCTGCAGCTCAACTGTCCGATCTCCACAATTAGCACCTGATTATATCCAGTCCAGGTTTGCACGGTATGATCTAGCACTTTATCAGGCCCATGTAAGTGTGGTTATGTATAACATTATCTCACTTCCTGCCCAGCTGGCATGTCTGGTCTCCCTCAGATAAATTGGGCAGGAAATTTGCCTGCGTTTTCTTCTTTATGGCACCCAGCATGGTGCTGGGCATCTCACGGGAATTCTGTAAACTCTGCTTGCTTTGACGACTGACCACCTGGAAGTGTAATCCCCAAATACTCGGGATTCTCTTTTCAAGCTGCACATTTTCTGTTTTGATTATCAGATAGCTTAATTTATCAAGACAAGCAATGGACAAATGGAAAGAAGTAGGTATCACTTTCACGGTCCCCTCCAACCCCTGGGGCTAGCACACAGTGCACTGGCTGCTTGTTGGACCGCAGGGCAGCCTGGCTCTCTCTCCACCAGGAGCCTGTCCTGTCCCTGCACTGGGCTGAAGCTGGGCTGCAGGGACTGGCAGGGAGATGTGGTGTGCTGAGGGTTACAGGAGGGCGGGCTTTGGCCTTGGCAAGGCTCCCCTGACCTTGGGGAAGACCAAGGGAGGCCGTTTCCTTCCCTCTCACGGGCTGCAGGTTTTTAATGTCTTCTTTGTTGGTGTGGGCCCCTGGGGTCTGAACTAAAGGGAGAGACTTCAGGCTGCTCCCTCCTCCCGGACAAAATGGTGCATGCTTTTCCTGTTTAAACAGGGCGCAGTTGTGAAGTGCCCTGACTTCGCGCACACCGAGGCCCGGCAACGGCTGCAATAAATCAATAGGAAAATAGAAGCTGCCAGTTAGACTAAACAAGTGCATTTGCAAAGACGGCTAGCCCTCATTAATCACTCTGACAGTCCTAAAAACACATTTCCCCTTTAATGACTGTATTTGGATAATCAGTGCTTTTTCCTCCTCAGTCAGAGTTTGAGTAACAGACAGCTGGTGTTATTACAGCCATCGGGGAGGGAGTTCTGGGATTAGGGCAGCAGAGCCGTCCGGCGGAGGTCCCCACAAGCGAGTGCAAGCTAGGCTGGCCACAAAGCTGTTGCTAGGCCATGGTGAGGGGAGCTTTGTACTCCACAGGCGTGCCAAGGGAAGCCATGTGCTCCTCCTCTAGCCTCCACGTCCTCCAGCAGGCTGTGGGTGCAGACCCTCACATTGGGCTTGGTCAGATTGGCAGCCTTAACCTGGGATGGGGAGGCAGGAGTTTCTCTGGCAGGGAGGTAGGAAGATGGGTTGGTGCGATTTGGCTTTGTTTCTTTTAGGTGACTTTGGGTTTCAGGAGAAAGTTTGAAACCTAGCACATTCCTCTTTATAAATGATGTAACACATTAATGCACAGCACATTATGAAAATGGTAATTCAAACCCATAGTGCTCCAAATTAAACCATACATTATCGGATGCACTCAACCATCTATTTTGCAAAAGGACAGGATGAATGAAATCAAATCAAACAGAAAACTGGAGTGCAGCTTCCCCTACAGAATGATTAATAAAGTGCAGAGCCGCAGGATTATTGTAAGATGAATTCCACGGTAACCCAGACATACATCAGGAGGAGGTTAGTTCATACATTTGAGAGACACCATCGAAGCATACGGCTTAGGGCAAGGCTGTTCTGGCCGCATAAAGATGGCAGAGGGCCCACAGCTCCCTCCTGGGCTGTGGATTTCTTAGGAGCTGAGCCTGCAGGTTATTGGTTGGGGAAGTAAAAGTGCAACACCCTGCAATTCAGTTTAAAACAAATCTACATCTGGGGGTGAGTCCATTCTTTTCTTCTGCTCTCCCTGCTGCCCACAGGGCCGCAAAAATAACCCCGTAAGAGACGTGAAAATAGGACGAGGAGCCAGGAACATCCGGGGTCTCAAATCCTAGTAATGTGGCTTGTGCCCTGATACCTTGGGAACGTGGCCCCATTTCTGGCAGCTGGGAGAGATTAGGAGAAAGAGGAGGAGGAGGAGCAGGAGGAGAAGGAGAAGGAGAGGAAGGAGGGCTTTGAAAAAGAGGCAGAGACACAGAAGGTAGAGGCTATTTTCAAAGAAAGAGTTAATTATGCAAATCAGCAGTTGGTGGAGGAGTACCCTCTTGATTAAAACGGCAACTTTGGCTAATGGGAATTAACCTATTGAAAGTAACAAACTCCCCACTAGCTAATTAAAACAGCCACATTTCTTCGGAAGGTCTCCAATTATGGGAGGATAGAGCGGTGGGTTCTGGGTAAGAAGGAGGACACCCAAGACTGGACTCTTTTCCTCGCGGCGTCCCTGTGATATTGGGGGCAGCGTAACCCAGCCGGGCCCAGCCTCCGCCGGCGCTCACTAGATTTTGTGTGGGAGGTGCAAGGTCCCCAGAGTTTTCTAACCTGCACTCCTACAGCTAAGGTGTAAGCCCAGCAGCATTAGAAACGTTCCTTTCGCTAAGTGCACTTGTGGGAGATACCTCTTCCTGTCTCTATCCCAAAGAGAGGAAAGAAACAAAAAGGTGCCCGCAGAAGGGTGCGAGAGAAGACGGGAAAGAAGTAAACAGCAAACACCAGAGTGGTGGTGGGGTGGAGGGCACGTTTAAATCTTTGGCGGTCGAGCAATCAGATCGGGCTGATTCCCCCAAAAGACCTCGGCTGGTCTCAGAGCGACTTTCCCACCCTTTCAGCCTATCTCCAGGTCAGGTCCTCAGATCCAGGCGGGCCAGGCTCCTGTTTCCAGACGCGCGCGGGTTCTTAGGTCGCCCAGCACTGACGCTGCAAAGTGAATCCTGATGTTCTCCTGACCGAGGGAGGAGCTCTTCGCAGATACAAAGATCTGTTACACACATGCCAAGCTGCGGTTGTGTGGAGTCCTGAGCGGAGGACCCAGTGGCCCCGCGTGTCACAGCCTCGGCCGCACGATTCTGTCTCCGAGTTTGTGGACTGGCAGCACGGGCGGCTGACTTCGCAGAGAGCGACGTGCGCAGCGCAAACTCGGGGAGCGGCGCGGCCGGGAGGGGGCGTAGAGGCCGCTCCGCCGCACCGACCCTCCCTGCCCGGGGCTGCAGCAGCTGCCGTCATCCGCCCACCTCAAGAAGGAGGAGCGTGGCTCCGCGAGTTCCGAGAGGTTTTCAGAGTCGCAGATAACCGGGTCAAGGGGAACCTCCCAGGCCTGGAGAAACTAGCATCTCAGTAAGTGTTTTGGTCACTTAAGATACAACCCCCCCGCGTAAGAAAAAACCCTGATTGTAGGCGTCGGGAGGCACAAGAGATGCCGTCGAGGCCGCAGCCAGTTGCGGCTTCTTTCCGCCTGCCGCTCGTCTTTTCGCCACCAGATGGCGCCAGAGGCACGCCGTCGCCGCGCACCCTCCCGCCGAGCTCGGACCGGCTGCTGCAGGTCTCTGCCTGAGCCCTTGGTCCGGGGTCCCTTAGAGCCCCTTCCACCTCCAGTCTGGGTTCGGAGGGAGATCCAGTTTTACACGCCCTCCACCCTGGCCCAGCAAGTGCCAAGGCCTTTGAAGCGAAGCTGGGATCTAGATCCCCAAGTGTGTGTGTGTGGGAAAAACGTGGTCTTAATGTTATTTGTAATGCGTTGTCAGAAGTTTTTTCTCCCGACTCCCGCGTTTTGAGGAAAGGCCTAAACTCGAATAGCCCTGAGGCATTTTAAACAAAATAAAAGAAGGGCATCTACTTTAGGTGACTGGTAACTGGGCGGTGGATGAGGCAAGAGAGACACACACCACGGTGTGAATATAGCCAAGTATTCCATTTATTAACAAAATAAGTCTTACCAAGGGAGAGCGCTATTCATCCCAAACAGGCCCGAAGCCCGGCCGCTGCTGCATAGACCGGGAGGGAGGGGGGTGGGGTGGGAGGAACCCAGGGCCCGGGTCTTCATCCCGGCCACCGCCAACTTTGGGGACTGCTGGGTCACACCTGGAAGGGGCGCGGGGTTGCTTCGGCCGAGTACTCCCTGAGTCCCCGACCTTTGCCCCGAGGAGCAGGTGACTTGGCGACAGAGAGGTCTGCTTGGGAGGGATCCAGCAAGGATCCCGCCCGGATACCCAGGGAGTGGGGGTCACAGCCCCATTAAAGAGCGGAAAAACAATGCGATAAAGCACTTCGCAAACTAGAACGAGCAAAGTTGCAGGCCAGCGGGCCTTCTAGCACTTTGAATGAACAGGAGCCCCACAAGTCACCCGCAGCGGGCAGCGATTACCGGGTGTGCGCACAGCCAGCCTCAGCCCCAGGCTGCTGGGCCCTCTATGGGAGCCTGCTGCGGTCAGGGATCTCCGGCTTAGAGCAAAGTTGGGGGGCTGTGACAGAGGGGCCCAGGGCCCGGACCAAGACCCTAGGAGAGGGGTCTGCTCGGGAGGGTCAACAGAGCTCAAGACCTCCAGCCACCAAGTTCGTTCCCTCAACCCCCAAATTGTTACCCAAAATTCCTCTCTGCTACAACAAAACCCCCCAAAAACCAGAACCTTAAATGGAAGGAAACAGGGAATGAAGGGAAAAGAAGGAAAAGGGGGAAATGTAGTTCGAATGGTTAAGATTCATGCAAGAAATTCCCCAGGACGGAAAAAACAAAACGTACGGAAGAACCTAAGATTCCCCAATGCTCCCTCTTCTCCCCAAAATTAAACCATAAAGAAAAGGAAGAAAAATTTAAAACTTATACCTAAGGAAAAGAAAAGAAAAAAAAAAGGAAGGGGGGGCAGAGTAGTTACCTGTGTGGTTAATATTATTATTCGGGGGAACATACTTTTGCATACCATTGACTCATGTGGGCTGTTAATGCACTTATATTCCCAGCTTGTAAGCTAACATCATAGTAAATAAATACACAGTCCGGAGGGGGGGCGGGGTCCCGCAGGGGGAAGCAGTGGTGGAGGCTGCAGCAGCGCGCAGGGACGGGGGAGGGGGCGGGAGGGCTGGGGGCCCAGAGCTGAGGTTACTGGTACCCGAGCGCCGATGCGGAGGCTAGTCTCTGTCCGTAGAGCGCGTATGGCGAGTAGTAGGGTCCGGCTGTGGGGAGGGACGGCACGGCCAGGCCCCCGGCTGTGGATAAATGGCTCTTGCCATAGGGGTGGTACCGGCTTAGCCCCAAAGTGTGTGGACTCCGCAAGGACAGCGACCCGGGGCTGCCAGGGGCGGCGGGCGGGGGGAGGTGCAGATGACAGGCGGCTGCGGCGGCGGCACTGCCCAGGCCCGAAGCCCCGGGGTAGGCGGCCAGAAGTTTCTCGGCGCCCGGCAGGGCTGTGTGAGTCCGCAGGTGGCTGAGCAGCTCCTCCGAAGTGGCGAAGCGCTTGTCGCACGGCCCGCTGGCCGCCACCCAGTTGCAGCTGTGCGGCAGTGGTTCGTTCTGCAGCATGAAGCCGTAGGTGTAGAGCGGGTGGCCTGGGAGGGCGGCCTGAGCGGCGCTGGAGGACAGCGCGGCGGGCTGCAGTGGGTGCCCGGGGTACACCAGCGGGTAGGCCCCAGCCTTCAGGCTGGGTCCGGCCGGGTCGTGCGCACTGCAAGTGGTGCAGCTGGAGCCGCCGAGGTGCGAGGCGCTGTGATAACCTCCCAGGCAGTAGGGGTCACGGCATAATCCCTGCAGGAAGGAGGGCGGGGAGGCCCCGGTGAGCGGGCTGGAGCTGGGGGGCTTGCCGGGAGGCAGACCCAGGCCGCCCGACAGCTGGCCTCCCACGAGGCCGGACTTGCTGGGATCCAGGCCAGGCACGAACTGAGACGGGTAGCCGGTGTAGGCGCCCACGATGGAGCCGTGGTAGCCGATGCTGGAGGGCGGCAGCGGGAACACCGAGTGGCCGGGTTTGTAGGGCGACACTGGCGCCACGTGGCCAGCCCCCACTAGCGCTGAGGGCGGCTCGGACTTTCGGCCGGAGGCTCCAGCCTCGGCGCCACCGTGCGCACCGGGCTCTGCGCCGCTCCCGCGGCTCACGGCCGCCGGCTCCGGGCTGGGCTTCGGCTCCGGGTCTTTCTTGTCCGGCTCTGCGCCGCCCGCGCCGCCGTTCTTGCAGTCAGGGTGGTGCGGGGAACCGCCGCGGGAGCCGCCGGGCGAGGACGAGGACGAGGAGGCGGACGCGGGCGCTCCATGCGGGGGAAAAGGCTGGCAGGCGGCGCTGGGGACCCTGAAGCCTGCCTTGTCTCCCGGGGACGAGGACGAGGAGGAGGTGGAGGACACCGAGGAGGAGCCGCTGTCTTTGCGGGCGTCGCCGCCCGCAGCGCCCTTGGAGTAGGGCTTGAAGCTGGACTTGTCCTCGGCCGGGGAGTCCCCCAGCTGCTTGAGGGCCGCCGACGCGGAGGCGGCGCCCGGGGCGGGGCGGCCGGGGTCCTTCTCCGCTCCCAGCCCGTTGGCCGCCGCAGCTACCGAGTTAAGCTTGGACGAGGGTGGCGGGTCAGGCTTGCCGATCTGCGAGCAGGTCTGGGCCAGCAGCGCCAATGGGCTCTTCTTGGCGTCCAGCTGTGGGGGACAGCGGCAGGGGGGGAGATGGGGTGAGACCAGGAGTCTACCGAGCGAGGAGGCCTCGGGGAGCGCGGCTGGGCGGAACTGCGAGCGCACGGCAGGCCGGTACCGGAGTGCCCCGACCCGGCCGGGAAGGGGCGGCGCGAGGGGCTCCTTCAGGGCCTCCGCGGGGAAACGTGTCTTGTCTGGGATCAGGTTTGGGACGCCCCTTCCCGTCTATTCTCCCCGGCCTCTAGGCCCAGAGCAAAACTTCTGCCTTGAGTTTGGGGGAACTTCGTTTGGGACGGGTTTTGGGCGACAGCGCCGAGGGGTGGTGGCGGGCAGAGGCGCCTTCTAAAGGCCGGGACGCCGTCGGCGCTGGGGAGCCCTCTCCCCTCCTCCCTTCGGGACCGCACCAGGGAAGTGGGAGGAAGAAAGACCCGGGGTCGAAGAGTGTCTAGGCGCAGGGCAGAGTGCCCTAACCGGATGGCAAAGGGGCGGCTTGGGACCCGGGCAGCCGGGGCTTCAAAGGGAGCAAGCTGGGGGTGGGGAGGCCCAGGGGACATCGTCTCTGACTAGAGAACTAGGTACCAGAGGAAAAGTGAAGGACCCCCTGGGGATTCCGAAAGCAAATCCAATCCGAGAGCGAACACCTAGCTCCGGAGGGCGAGCTTGGAAGGAGTTCCTTCCACGGGGGAGCCTGGGGAGGTCCCGGCGGGCTAGGACCCCCGCTGTGCTCCGCTCCTCCGCAGTCGGCCCGCCGGCGTGGCTAGATTAGGGTGCGGCGCAGAGCCCTGGGGCGCAGGGCACGGCCGTGGTGGGCAGAGCGAGCGCGCCCGGGAGACTGACCTCAATGGGGCTGACGGGAGTGGAGGACAGCGGCTGCAGGTACTCCGGGTGCAGGAGGTGGCCGGTGTGAGCGCTCAGCATCTTCAGGACCCTGATGGGGAGCCGGTTCGCCTGGCGCAGGGGGTCCGCCGGGGGTAAGAGGGACACCGCTGCCGGCACCGCCGGCCTCTTCCCGCCGCCGCTGCTCTCGGGTGTCCTTGGGTTAGATCCAGCGGGCGAATCGCTCATTTGGAGGAGGCAGCGCCGCGGGGGGGGCGGGGAGGGAGCGGGAGCACCGGGGAGGCGAGCTCCCGGGGCGGGTGGGCTCGCTCCGCAGCGTTGAGCGCCGGGCGGCGGTCGTTCCTCGCCTCGTCCCCTCCTCCACCGACGCCGCTGCCGCCGCCAGCCTCGGCGAACCACACAAAAACCTTCGCCTTCCGCGAGCCGCACGTCAAATAGCCGCGATCAGCAGCCACACTTCAAAGGGATCGCCGCGCCCGCCCAATCGCAGCTCGCGCCGGGACCCGGGGCGGGGAGAGCGGCGGGCGGAGGCCGGCGCGGCCGGTGGGCGGGGAGAGTCTTAAAGGGGCCTCGCCGGCGCGCGGCCGCGCCCTGCACCTCCTGCCCTCGCCGTGCTCTCCCCAAAGCCCCTCGCGCGGGGCTGTGGGGCGGGGAGAGCGGCGGGCGGAGGCCGGCGCCGCCGGTGGGCGGGGAGAGTCTTAAAGGGGCCTCGCCGGCGCGCGGCCGCGCCCTGCACCTCCTGCCCTCGCGGTGCTCTCCCCAAAGCCCCTTCCGTGGGGCTGTCCTCGCCGCGCGGTCCCACGAGGGCCAGGACTTCTTCGGGACCCCGGGCTCTGCTCCTCGCCTCCGCTGGCTTTCCGGTTGCGGCGTCCTGTCTACCTTCCCACCGCTGGGGGGTTGGTGGTGCCGGCGGGGCTGTCACCCCGCTGGTTGGGCGGCGCGGGGTGGGGCGGGGCGGCAGCGGCGGCGCCTGCTTGGGACCTACGAGTCCCGCTGCCCGAGGCCGCCTGGGGGCGGGCCGCGCCTCGAGATCTCCGGTTCTTCCGCTGCGTGGCGCCGGCCACCCTGCTCCCCCGTCGGCCTCTCCGGCGTGTTTACTCGAGAACGCCCGAGCTTTGGAGGCACCCACTGTTCTCGGGGTGCAGCCTGAGTCGCTCCGGGTACTTTGAGCCTGCCGGGTCCGAAGGCTGCAAGTTCGCAGTCTCCTTTCCGGGGTGAGATGGTCGCGAGGAATCTCTGGGCCGGAGGCGGAGCGCGCCGCCCTGACGCGCCGGGAGCGCTGTGCCGCCCGCGCTCACTGTAGGCTTGGTGTTGGGGTGTGCTTTAGGTTCCACGTCGTGCTCCGTTTAAGGGCTTCTCCGTGCCATGCCTCGGATGCTCTTTCGAGGGTCCTGGGTCACAGGAGAGGCCGGTATCCCGCAAGCAGGGAAGGCGGGCAGTTGTCTTTCTAAGTGTTGCATGACCACACAAACTCAGGAGATAGGCTCTGTCGTCTTTCTCCCAAACACCAGTTGTTCCCAACGAAACTTCTAGATTAAAATAGTATTGCCCTCCTGGCTTCTGAGCCTGTGGTATAAAGTGTGCATTGCTAGATTTCCACTTGTCAGAGATCTTACCTAATCAACTTCCTGACACCAAAGTTCCCTGTCCACCGCTCCACAGGAGGTCAGGCTGGTCTTTTGTGTCACAGCCTCTGGAGTGACCACCTCCCCGTGTTGTCCTCAGCCAGTGGAGGCGCACTAGGGTCACTGTCTCCTTTGGAGGGTCACTTTCCCGAGCACATCTGTCACTCAGATTGTCAAGCCTGGCCCTGGAGGCCTATTGCTCTTGTACTGCCTGAGGCTCTGGGAGCTGACCAGCAATTTGAGACAACAGAAGCCAAGACCTGGTAGATTTCGAAGGGATTCTGCAAAGGGAAGAAATAACACCATAATGATAACAGCTATACCCTTTTACCAGTGCCCAATAGAGAAGACATCGGCAGCACTGCCAGTCTGTAACTAAACTAAACTACACATACTCCCTAGCTCTGCTATTTTGGGATAGTTTGTGTAGATCTCTCAGAAATCCCACAGGCTTTCCTTCCCTCAGTTTCAATCTCGGTTAAATCGGGTTCAAACAAATAGCCCGGGGCTGCCTTGCGGGGGCAGTCATTGTGATGGGCTCTACCTCTCTACCTGTCCTCTCCCTTTGGCGCTGCTTCTGCTGGCCTCTGCACTCTGACCTGACTGTTGCAGCCAACATCACCTTTAAAAGTTCACTGCAGGGTTGCATCAACCTTTGGGCCCCTGCCCCGCAGAGAGAGCCGGCAGAAGAAGGCAGCAGAAGGCCTGTGCGGAGAGACTGGCCTTTGTACGCACCTCAGAGGAGGACGAGCCGGGAGACGGGAGGTTAGGAGACTGTAAAAGATGAAAGACTCCGTGATTATTGTAACCAGCCTGGCTGTGAGAGTGAGCCAAGAAATCCTTCCAGGACCCAAGCAGATGTGTGTTAGAAATGATTAATGGAAGTAAGGGGAGGGGACGGGGAGGCGGAGAAGAGTAAAGGCGGTTAGGAATGTGGAAGGAAAAGGGGTCAGGAGGCAGCAGAAAAAGGGAGAAGAAAGGAGTACACCAGAGTGTTTACTTTCTATTTGGAAAGGAAAAGAGAAAGGAAAAAGTAGTGAATGAATGAAAGGAAGGGAGAAGAGGAGGTGAGAACAGGAGGGGCAGGTGGGGAATTTGCCTAAGGAATCCTACTTTGTCACCTCAGCTCCCCGCAGTGATCACCGGTAGGGATGGTGGTGCCAGAGAGCAGTGCGTGGAGGCCAGGCCTGCCTCTTCCTCCTGGGTGATTAGTGGGCTTCAGGGGCCCAGGGTTGGTTCAGACTTTGGGGTGTGGGTGAGGGCAGCAGGGTCTCTTTGGTTGAATCCATCCAGTTGCCTTAGGAGAAAAAAAATGCAAAACCATTCCTGGCCAGGCCAGAGGTCTAATTAAAACACTGCTGGGTGATTATGACTATCAGTATTTGACTGTCACTGAGCTAACCTACACAGCCTGGAGTGGACCCTCGTGGCCTGGGAGGAAGTGCAGTTTTCACAGGAATGTGAATGCTTTTCATCTGGGAGCGAATGTGACTCAGTATTGCAGTGGCTGGACCATGAGTAGTGTGGAAGCGCTGGGGGCACAGCCTCGCCCTAGGATGTGATTGAAAAGTCCCTATGATGCGAATGCACCCGGCATTATGGGACAAGTCCTTTTCTTGCCAAAAAGTGGCTAATGTATGATTGAGGGGCCTTGGTGTAGGGAAGCCCTTCTCGAATTGCCCTGGAAATGAATATCTACCTTAAAATAGGACAGGGCCAGATCTGCTTGAGGTGCTAGTGTGGTACCCAGGGAAGAATAACAATTCTGCATGGCTAGTGTTGGTAAATACCCCAGCTACTGCTGAAGAGGACTAGAAGATGGGTCACTTGAAGTCACAGGCCAGTGGGAGGCGGAGTGGTGCTTAGTTGCAACTCTGGGAGCCAGGCCTCTGAACCATGCTGCCATGGTGACCCTGGGCAAATGAACCTCGCTAGGCTTCTGTGTTCTTCGTGCATCAGCCGTGAGTATGGCTACCTTAGTGTCAGGAGGCCAGAAGACAGTTTGTGTCATGTGTTGAGTGTGTAGCACAGAGGAAGTCCCAGGCACAGTGTGGGACCAGTGTGGGTGTGATTGAAAAGTCCCTATGATGCGAATGCACCCGGCATTATGGGACAAGTCCTTTTCTTGCCAAACAGTGGCTAATGTATGATTGAGGGGCCTTGGTGTAGGGAAGTGTTGCAGTGCGTCATTTACATCTGTGGGACCATGGCTCTGGGGAGCAGATACATTAGCCCAGAGCCTTGACAATCTCAGTCCTGGAAACTGACCTGAAGAGTCCAGGTTGTCTGGTGAATGGACTGAGAGCGACCCCTCCCCTAACCTCCAGTTCATTGTATCTTTTTTGATCACCCCTCCCAAGGCATGGAGAAAATCCTTTGGGAAATTGTGAATTTGTATAGATTCCCCCTTTCCACAACTTCAGTGTCTATAAAACTCCCCACCCAGGAAAAACTGCCCGAGTCAGGCTGAGCACGAGAGGTGGTAGGTTTGTGGCATGGGGTTAATGTGTAGTTTTCACTCCTGGCTGAGGCAGAATTACCTGAATGATCGCCTCTCTGCATAACGCTCCAACCCTAATTGCAACAACATGAAGTAAGATCTCACTGGGTAACTATTTATTTTTTTCCAAGCCTTAAGAACTCTGAAAAGTCTGTCTCCTAGCGAACTTGGTTTTCCTCCCTGACAGTATCTTCCAGAGGCTGCTAGTTACTGCCTTGGCCAGGAGCCTTGCTGTAGCACACACTGTGCTCAGGGACTTGGAGGTACTTCCGGGTGCCCTGTCCCTGTCCCCAGGCTTCAGACCCAGCCTGGGGCACGAGAGGGCATGAGTGGGGAAGCAAACAGCGAAGCCAGGCCTACCAGCCTTGCAGGAAGCCTGCTGTGCTAGGCAAGGGGCCTCTCTGTGTATTCCTGGAGTTCTGCTTATACGCTGACCTTACACTTACCCAGGTGTCTGCCGGTATTTGTTCACTCGTCTCTTCTCCCGCTGGACTGTAAATGTGCCCATGTTTTCCGCATCCTCTTTATGTTCTTGCCTAGCAGAGTGTTTAAGTACCCTCACACGGAGTGGCAGGCATGGATGGAAATATTTTGTGTGCATTATCTAATTCCAGGGCCACAGAAACCCTAAGAGGCAGGTCCTGCTGCCCCATTTCTCAGAGGAAGAAAGGGAGGCACAGAGAGGTTAAACTACTCCTGGATGGTCCGAGCTGGTGTGGTTAGAGATAGGGCAGGGTTGTGGATCTAGGCATTTTCAATGCAGTAAATGCCCAGGAATGCTTGTTCATGGATGGATACAGATTTTACCCAGGTAGAGCTGTTTATTTATATCTCACCTTGCCTTATTCCCAAAAGATTTAAGGTGAATGATTGTGTTTTCAAAATGTTGACTGTATAACCATGTGGAAGTATCTTTTTCCCAAATGCACTTTTTTTGTCCTTCATTTCGGAACAACTTTTGGAGTTCTTCTGGGCAGGTTTTATTATCCCTGCTTGAAGAAACAGGCTCAGCGTTTAAGGGAGAGTTGAAAGTCTCACAGCAAACAGTGGCAGAATGGGGTGTGGAGTGAAGTCCTCTTAACTCGCTTCTCTGTTGTTGGTTGGTTAACTTCTAACACTGCTCATTGCCTTGTGGCTCAGGAGGTAGCTCGTGATAAAAGGTGGAATGAACTCCTTTTCCTCCCCCAGGAATTTCCTTTAGAGATGTGGTGGGAAGAGGGACAAAAGGAAATGTAGACTGGAGCTTATCTTCAAGCCTGTCCTTTTGATTTGGGTCCCTAAGCAGCTGCTTTGAAGAACTGATTTCATTTATCTCTTATCAGCCCCTGGGGAGACAGACAGGCCTGGGCAGGG